GACCCCAGGCTTGTGGCCTGAAGGTACCAGCCCTCGCATTGGTCTGCGGCCGAGGAGGCACCACGTCCACAAGGGGCTGCACAGCTGACCGCTGAACATCTCTGAACGCTCCCACACCCAGCAGCGCACAGGAGTCGGATGACACGTCTGGATGGGGGATGCAGTTGCAGCCTGGCGATGGAGTGTAAGGAAACCTAGGATATCCAATCCTCATTCGGTAGTTTAAACCGCCAGAGCATCAGTGATTATAGCTCTCCGTTCGGTAGATAAAATAAACTAAATCCATACAAATACAATAGCTTTACAAGATGATTCCCTTAATAAAGCATACAAATCCCCAAACATCAGCCAAAGTCTTGAAGAAGGGTGCAACAGAACTGACTTTTAATGACCACACACTGGCTTTCATGCAAGTCCCCATGCAAGGGGACATCCCACAGGGAGGGACACAGTACAACCAATCATTTACAGTAAAAACGTTAAACACTCCCCACACAAACATACAATTCCCTCCCCTAGTCCTGGAGATAATCAAGTCTGATAAAGTAATAACTTGATTATCTCCAGGCAGAAAAATAAAAAGTTTCCCCAATATTCAGAACACCACATACATATGGTATCCCCACAAACAATATGTCCCCTGATAGCCCCGATCTGGGTGACCAACATATTCAAATTTCACCCAGATCGGTTCAGGGGTTCTCAAAAAGTATGGAAGTCTTTTGTGACCGGCTAACCGCGAGGTGGCTGCCCAAAATAGTTCCAGGAGTTTGGGTAGTTTTGCCGGTCTATTCCGTTAAATGACAAAAAACGAATAATTCTACGAATTGATTCCCCTGGCTCTTAGCAGCGATTGTTCCCCTCATTCGAATGCACAAAAGTACCGAACAGCGCTCTTCTAGCTGTTCGGGAAATAAAGATCCAGCGTTCGCTTGTTGAGACTGGTGTTCAGGACGTCCAGTGTCCGATTTTAGTTCCAGACACTCAGGGCCGGCCTTAGGCAATTAGGCGCCCTGTGCAAAAAGTCTTCACGGCGCCCCCCCCACCTCCCACCAAGTTGCCTGAATACAGTAACACACACAGGCACCGGGGACGTGTGTATCACGAGGCAAACAAGGCATCTGCCTTGGGCGCCACTTTGCAGGGGGCGGCAAAAAAAAGCATCCCTCCAAAACCCCAGGCAGATCCCTTGCTTGCCTCGCATCCTGGGGGGCTCAAGAGCTGACCGGCTGGCCACTTTTGAGCCCCCCCAAGGCTGGCAGCGGGCAGCGAAGGAGCATACTCACCTGAGCTCTTCCTGCTCAGCTTCCGCTGCGCCGCTTAATGAAGCCGGGAGCCAGAATATGACGTCAGTCCGGCTCCCGGCATCACTAAGCGCTGCTTACTCAGCCTGTGCGCCCCCTGCCTGCCCGCCCAGCAGCCACACTGGACTGCTGGTAAGAAATCCACTCCAGCTTTCCCAGGGAGGCTGGGTGGATTTAAAATAAATGTAAAAAATATTAGTTTGTGAGTGATAGTGGAAATGTCTGTGTGTGTGTCTGTGAGTGTTTATTTTGAAGTGAATGTGTGTGTGTGTGTCTGTAAGTGTGTAATTGTGTGTGTCTGTAAGTGAATGTGTGTGTGTCTGTGAGTGAATGTGTGTGTTGGTCAGTGAGTGTATATGTGTCGGTCAGTGAGTGTATATGTGTCGGTCAGTGAGTGTGTATGTGTCAGTCAGTGAGTGTGTATGTGTCGTCAGTGAGTGTGTATGTGTCGTCAGTGAGTGTGCGTCTGTCAGTCAAAGTGCGGCCTTGACAGGAAGGGGTGGGGGAAATTTAAACTCGGTTACAGGCATGTACACACACACTCAGTTAAAGGCAGTCACACATACAGGCACAGGCACAAACAATGGCACAGCTACAGCGACACACACACACACAGACAGTCACATAGGCAGTCACACACACAGACAGACACACAGTAACACACACATAGACAGTTATACACACACAGGCAGGCAGTCACACAGATAGAAAGTCACACACACAGGCAGGCAGTCACACACAGACAGATAGTTACAGACAGACACACACAGGCAGGCAGGCAGTCACATACAGGCAGTCACATACAGGCAGTCACACACACAGGCAGTCACACACACAGACAGACAGTCTCACACACACAGACAGTCTCACACACACAGACAGTCTCACACAGACAGACAGTCTCACACACACAGGCAGTCACACAGACAGACAGTCACACAGACAGACAGTCACACACACAGGCAGTCACATACATGGGCAGTCACACAGACAGACAGTCACACACACAGGCAGTCACATACATGGGCAGTCACACACAGAGACAGTCACACACACACACAGAGACAGACAGTCACACACATACACACACACAAGGACAGGCAGTCACACAGACAGTCACACACACACACACACACAGACAGTCACACGCACACAGGCAGGCAGTCACACAGACAGACAGTCACACACACACACAGACAGACAGTCACACAAACAGGCAAACAGTCACACACACACACTTACCTCTTCCCAGTGGATGCAGTTGGCTGATGGGGAAGCATCTTTCCCTCTTCCTGTACAGCAGGGGCTTCGGGAGGTATTAGCCCCGTCTCCGCCTCTCGATAAGCCCCGCCTCCGCCGCTCGGTAAACCCCGCCCCCTCTGCCGCGATTTTTTTTTTAAATAGACCCGGGTGGAGAATAATTAATCCTCCAGCCAGGTCCCTTTTTTAGCTCCCCTGCACTCCGGCCATGAGTGAGCTGTGTCGGCCACAGGGCGCCCCCTGTTCCATGGCGCCCTGTGCGGTCGCACAGCTCGCACACCCCTAAGGCCGGCCCTGCAGACACTGGACGACCAAGTCCCGCTGCCTTTGTTCGCCTGAAAAAAGATGGCTGCCTTTTTTAGCAAAAAAAAAAAACAGGTGCCCAAAATTGCACAGCATATTCAGGTGTGCTCTTACCAGCGATTTAAAATGAGGCAAAATTATATTTTTATCCCGAGTATTTATGCCCCTATTTATACATGACAAAACCTTACTGGCCTTAGCAACTGCCGATTGACATTGCATATTGCTGTCTAATTTGTTGTGTATAACAATTCTGAAATCTTTCCCGTGTGTTGTTATCCCTAATTCACTACCATCTGGGGTGTACGTTGCTTGTGCATTCTTTACCTCAAAGTGCGTAACTTTGCATTCTCTACATTAAATTTCATCTGCCATTTTAGTGCCCCAATCTATCCAAGTCCGTCTGCAGCAAAGCAATATCCTGCTCACATTTTATTACTTTACAAAGTTTTGTGTCATCTGCAAACATTAAAACATGGCTTTCAATGCCTATTTCAAGATCATTTATAAATATGTCAAATAGAAGCATTAATGACAACTCGTTGTACTCTATTCTTAACCCCTTAAGGACTGGACTGTTTTTGCGATGTTGTACATTTGCGACCAGGAATATTTTTACACTTTTGTGGTGTTTGTGTTTGGCTGTAATTTTCCGCTTTCTCATTTACTGTTCCCATACAAATTATATATTGTTTTTTTCAAGACAAAATGGGCTTTCTTTACATACCATTATTTATATAATCTCATGTATTTTAATTTTAAAAAATAAAAAAATATGATGAAAAATTGGAAAAAAAATACATGTTTTTTGACTTTTACTTGAAAAATCTTTTACTCATCTATAAAAGCAAATGGAAAAAACTGCTAAATAGATTCAAAAATTTTGTCCTGAGTTTAAAAATACCCAGTGTTTTTTTGCATGTTATAGGCACAAGTAGATATTGCGGTTTCAAAACATACATTTTTTAAATTTATCAATAGTGACATTGTAACACTATTATCTGTCATAAATCTCTGAATAACACCCCACATGTACATATTTTTTTTAAAGTAGACAACCCAGGGTATTCAATATGGGTATGTCCAGTCTTTTTTAGTAGCCACTTAGTCGAAAACACTGGCCAAAGTAAGCATTCATATTTGTTTGTGTGTGAAAAAAGTAAAAAACTAAATTGAACGCTAATTTTGGCCAAGTGGTTACTAAAAAAGACTGGACATACCCCATCTTTGTACTACCTGTTGTCTTCTTTTTGCAAATGGTATGCCATCATGGGGTAATTCTCATTCCTACAAATATATCGCCTTCCTCAAAGGCAATGAACTAACCTGTCCATTTTCAATGTAAAAATATTTGACCCATATATTTGACCTGTAAACTTTCTGTGTCAGTTATAGTTCTTAGAAGATAGTAATTGTTAATTAGAGATTTAGCTGAATGACAAATATAGTGTTTAAAACTGGAAAACGTATCACGTCAATTATATCACTTCAGTAAAAAGTGCTGTTTGTGTGTGAAAAATGCAAAAAGTCACTTTCACTGCACAATACTACTGCTGTGATATGTTTTACTGTTTTGAATCACTAATATTTGTGTTCAAAGAAGTCTCCCACAAAGCCTTTAGGGCGTCGAGAACGTTACAGGCAAAAATACAGTTAAAGTAAATTAAATTCTCTGGACTTTCGGCCTGGGTTGTCAGGCAGGTCCCTCAAATTGCAATCAATAAAATTACTTAATTATGTAAAAATATTACATAAATACGCATGTAGAATTTAAATATATATGCATATTTATATATTTGAAGTCTACGTGTATATTTATATAATTATTTATGTAATTTTGCATATGGACATATGTATATTTCTTATTATTTTTATTTATTTTTATATACATAGATATATATACAAATTCATTCTAAGTGTATTTTGATATAAATATATATATATTAATTTTAAAATACAGTTAGAATAAAATTTCTTATAGATATATAATTTTTTAAATTTTTTATTATTATTTTAAAAATTTTTTATTTAATTTAAATTACTTATTATTTATATTTTATAATAATATATATATACAATATATATAGTTATTATATATATTATATATATACGTGTGTAATTTATTTATAAGTGTATTTTTATATTAATATA